TCTAGTTTTGTATTCATTTCTATACATTTCTCAAGTTCAGTGCACTTGTCTGTGTAGCATGTATTGTCAACTGTTCGTTGAAAGGCCATATTCAAGTGCAGTATCTTCAATTGAGGAAGATTGAGGAACTGTAACAATACAAGACAGGGAACATATTGACCTTCAGATAATCCACAGTAGCACTCCTGAATATTGTATAGAAGTGATGGTTGTAATAATTTGTGTATTAATTCATCAGTGGGTCTACGCAACCCTACCTCCAGTCTCTTACACTGGGTCTGTAGTGAGTTATTGGTTAGTCCAGCAGTGAAGACTGATAGTTCCTGGTTAGATACAATCTCCAGGTGCAAGTGATTCCATGTTGTGTTGGAATTGTTTATACAATAACTGAGACACAACCAGTCAAACAATGATAATGATACTCTTCTATCCAGACACAGTGAGTGGTTGTTGATGGATTGTGCTAATACTTGACATAATGTTGTGTTCTGTGATTCATACAGGAGTTGAACAAGAAGAATGGGAACATTGTAAAAATCATCAGATCTGACATGATTATATTGTCTAATCTCAGGATTCTGATAGAAGTAGGAGAGATGACAAGTCTCAGTTCCAAACAATGGTTTCCTCTTACACTGTAAGTCAAGTTGTTGTTTATTAAAATACTGTTTATAGCTCTCATGTTCAAGCTGAGTTAGACCTGCCACAAACCTCAGACACATTCGAAAGTGATCATCATCAAAGTGATCCTTAAACACTTCCTCTGTCTTCTTCTCATGCTTAGCTATCCACCATGCAGCTAGAAATTCCTGTATACTCAAGTGAAGGAACTGATACTTCTCCTCATCATATTCTGTAAATCTTGTCATCAATCCAAGATAGTCTTCCTTGACTGCCTCACTCAGTGACTGTAGTTCATGTGAAGAGAATGTCATTCTTGTATTAGCCAGGTTAGTATAAGCTAATTGACACATCTCTTGTAAAGGTTTAGCTAATTGTGATGGTAATGAAGAAAGACTACCTAAAGTATGTGGGTTACTGTCATGTCTTTTCGCATGTCTTCTGATAGTTTGTAGGATAAAGTTCTCATAGAGTTGAGTGAGTGTTGTTGGTAAGTGTCCTCCTTCCTTACAATAAACTAAGATGACCATGGAACAGACTAGTGGTACATAACACAATGATTGGACATCATTTCGTACTTTAAGATCATTAATGAGTTTCACTGCTAGTTGCGAGTCCTTACTGCTTTGAGTAGTTGTGAAATGTGATTTGTATTTTTCATTAGATGTTAATGTTAGTGGCCTTTCATCTTGCTGAGTGTTTTCATCAATGAGTTCTTGTGCTAGTTTTGTATCTTTTTGAAGTGTTTGTATAATTACTGTTGATATTTCTTCCTTGGAAAACCCAATGACCTGAACATGTCTACTGAGATTAGATATGATCTCTAAAAGTGAAGAGGAGGCATAGCTACGAGAGGTAACAATTACTGAACATTGGTCTAACTGCTTTCTATGAATGATACTAGCTGCTAATGAAGACCGTCTAAGTTGTTCACTTAGTTCATCCCAACCATCAAACATTATCAGTAATCCTTCTCCATTCCTCTTCTCAAACCATTCAGCTACCGTGGGAACTTCATAACACTGATACTCAAACAGGTCAGCTAGTGTAGTAGCTGTAGCTATCTTGCTATTCCTTAAAGGACAGTAAAGTACCAAGTCATACTGTTGGTGTACAAGTGGTCCATTAGACCACATATTTAACAGTTTACGACAGAGTGTGGTCTTCCCAATACCAGGAGGACCGTCTATTACTACTCTGAGAGACAGAGAGCTATCTGTGGGTTGGAGGACATCTTCAACACTTATCTCTTTGTTTTCAGTTAGTTTAACTGTTTCATCAACTTGTCCTCTTAGCATATGCCAAGCTGATTCTGCTTGTGTGCTGGAGTCTTGTTTTTCTACTAGTGCTAGTCTTCCAAAGAAATCTTTTCCAATTCTTGGTGGCCAGTCTATAGCAACAATAGGTTGGTGTTTGTAGTGTTGTCTCATATTGTCAGCATATCCTTGAACATTATCAGGTATTGAACTAATGGATGTGACATTATCAGGTAGCCATCCAAAAGTAATTCGTATTTTGTCATAACATTTTCCAAACATACTAAATATACTTGTACTAGTGACATTACTAGTAGCAGCTGTAGCACCTACATGTACAAAGTATAATTTTAAGTAATACTTATAACATGGCTAGTTCGTGATGTATCTAATTTACAGTCACTGATATGATCCTGAGGGTGCGTGCGCCCGAGGGGGAGGTGACTGTATTATAAAATTAGATACATCATGAACTAGCCATGTTATAAGTCAGTAAAGTCACTTATGTCATGATGACCCACATCAAAGGCTCTGCGCAGTGCGCACACGCATGTGCAGATTTACCACATGCAGCACATTGAATAATAATGGCTGATGATAATGGCTGATGATAATAATCAGATGATAAAGACGTGGAAACTGTGCCTGAAAAAAAGATGGAAACAGTGCCAGAGCTAGAAGAAGAGATAGAAGTGGTGTTAGAGGACGAAACTCCGGATGGATACACCGTAATTGTGACCCATTCAAAGCCAGGTGCTGATCCAAACAAGAAAGCAATACACCACAATATAACATCAAGGCATGGCTCCTTGGAATGGCGACCTTTATATGTTAATAAATATAATAAATACAGGTCCAATCAATGAATTTTTACAGCCCTCTTAGTGTAATAGGTACTATCCTACACCAGTCCATCAAGAATATAAAGAATTATAATTGTTTTTTTTAATCAAAATAATAATAAAAATCTTTGATTAAATTGTGGGTGGCTTATAACATCGTTGTGGGTGGGTTAGATCACTGCTGTGGTCTTGCTGGGTTATAGTGCATGCGGTACCTTTGATGTGCGTCATCAGTAGGATATAATGTATACACATTAAATAATTTATTACCTCTTATATTAGTAACTGGTGTATTGGATATATCATCAACTGGTGATGGTAGTACAGTATGTGAACTGACATTATCAGGTATAGACTGACCTAATGTATTGAGATATAATGACTATATTGATCACTGATAATGTACACACAC